AATTACATATAAGCTCACCCTGAGAAAATGAGCAATTCCCATGAGGAGCAACAGAAGGTGCTTTCAGATGCGAACATCTGTCACTAGCAAGTTTTTTAAACTTAATATTTCGGAATGTTTCGTGGTATTCTTTTGGAGAAGGGCAAGATCCATGCATTTCAACGTGCTGGGCTCTGTACAAGAGCGGTTGCTAATCAAAGGGGAGAACTTATCGCTCCTTCCAAGGTTGTTTGAAGTGCTAATCTAGTGTGAAGTTTGAGGTACTAGTCTGCAAATGTTCTACTACTTTTGCACACTCACGTTCATTTACTATCAACGACTCGAGAAGAATTTTCAAGGCAGTTCCAAACAGTACCTTCTGTCAAAGGACGGATTCGCTCGTGATTAAGCACTTCTGTGTTGAAAAGCAAAGTCCGGAAAGTCGTGAGAAAAAGCAGAGAGATTGCCGAAAGGCGGAGAAGATTGTACTGAGGCTAGCTGGCCATGGCAGAGCTGCACGACTCCAACTATTGAGGTTGAACTCAAGTAGGGATTCAGCAAAATTAAGCCTTCGTCACATTGCCATCACACACCTTGATAATCTCAAGTTTGGTTTTTTTCCTAGATGAAGAGGGTTATGGGCAGTACAAGCGAGAACAAGCGTATTTGGAGCATTTTTCAAAGGCAGGCCGTCTGATTTAGCACCTGTAATTGATGGAGGAAGTGTGAGAATCTCGGTTGCTTTCTGTAATGATGTTATGATGAAACTTCCCTTAGTGGCCTGCAAAATGGAACTCCACCGGATTACCAATAAGTCTAACAGCAACATCTAGTGCCTTTTCCATGCCTGCGGCGTCGTCTAAACTACGTCTTTTTACAGGAAAATCTGCCGTCCACGTGAGTCCCTCAGCAAAAGATTGGCTGCATTCCCAAAACATAAGCGTCCAGCAGTGGCCAGCCTGCAGTCCGGATGTCCATCCGATGGAGAACGTCTAGGGCATCATAGCAAAAAGGCTCATGCAAATAACCGTTACTTATTAAGTGAAGAAATTCTGAAGCAGGTCATTAAAGCTTGAAAAGGAATCGTTGAAGAAAATGTTCTGCACCAAGTTCCTAGTAGGCTACAGAAGTCCTTCGACGTCGCACTTTAACAAGGTAGAGTCATAGATTATTAACTCTCTCACGTGTGTCAGTAACATAAATAAATTGTTCATTTTCTCAGGGTGAGCTTATAATTATGAAACGGTGCAAAAACGAAAAAAAAAACTATTATAAAAAAGTTCAGAAATGGTGCTGCTGCAAAAATTGGATACGGGTAATTCGTGCTGGGGAATCCGTTGATAATGCTAGAAAAATTCCTGAATCGAAACTGCCTATTTGTAAAACAAAATTTGAAGGTGATCTTATGATTATAAAATGCACTGTATACTAGTTCTCAATGAACGCGCCCACCTTCCAGTTGAAAGAAGCGTTGTAACCACCCTTGGCCAGTTGTATCCTGACTGATCTTTGGCGTTGACCGTGGAGCAGTTTATTTACTATTGAAATTAACACAAATATTACAATATCATAACTCCTTCGAGGATGACGAAATTTAGCACATTTAAGAGGGCCTAACACCTCTATAACCATCTAGTTGAGATCAACAGATCCGTTCGGTGAGCATCTATTGTCTAGCGAATACTATCCACTGAGACAAACGACGTTGCTAATCATTGAAGAATCCTAGATCGAAGTGGCTATCTGCAATGACACCCAGGAGGAGTGTTTTTGGACGACGATTCTCAAATCAGGTCTCCTTACTCTGCCAATCGATTCAATGAGCGTAGTTAACAATGTAGAGCAGTTGGTAGACCGGGCTCTACGAGCAGAGGAGCATAGACGTACCTACTGACCAATTCCAGTCTCGCATTCACAGCAAAATGGTTGGAAATAACTTCCAACCATGTTACGTGGGAGCGGTTTTATTCAGAAGTACAATGACTGAGATCCTCTCAAGATTCTTTTTTTGGCACTATTGTGACTGGCCAACTAGCAGTGATTGGGTGATTCCTATCATCATCGTTTAAAACTGTGATTTTTTCGATGAGTTGAGATGACTTGGTTTGAGCTTTTCCTGACTTGCGTGGCGCTATAGAAGCTTGAGCACGCCATTGTCCTTAACGTACTCAGCCCTTTTCAAAACGAATGTGAGACCATACTGAGGGAGTCAAATAACTCACCTTCGAGACGATCTCGAAAAATTGACCAAATTCGAGGATGGTCACCAATCAGGTGAACCTCCCTTGCAGGTGGCCCGGGTTTGAACTATATCCATTAGCGAGCAATCCATCAGGCTCACGTTGAGCACAACATGTCTCCGTCATAATTATTTCATATCAACGAGAAAGCGGGAAACTAGTAATTTACTTTTACTGTAATTAATTACAGGGGGAGGGGGCAAAATAAAGACATTATGCCCATGCTGCACTTCGGCTCTTTTCTTCGCAGCGATTGCCGTCGTTGACAGATTCCTCAAGGCAAATACTATAATGACGACTTCTTAGTTAACGCAAGCCCTCCGTCACTGCCTCTCACACGTACTCTACCAGAAGTGACATCAATCGTCCATCGTCGTCGAGCTCATATGCGCTTATGGTAATTGCTCAGCCTGAAGCCTACGAATTTCTTGAATCGATCCAATATGGACAATTTCTCCACACATACATACACTCGATATCGGCAAAACTCCCCTCGAACTATGTAGTTTCCCCGTAAATGTTGACAGCACGCATCTTCGAGGAGTGCATTGAGCTCGACCAGTCAACCATGCTTTTCTAGGCAAATTTTTAAATGCCTTTCACCGTAGGATGCAAAGCTTTCTTGAAATCAAATAAAAAATGAGCGCTCGTCAATACTAGTTTGGGTCAATTCGGTTCGAATGAGCTACAGTGTGTTGGATGATCTGAAATTGAAGCTAAATGTCTTTATTTGCCCTCCCCCATAATTCAAACGACAGAAACTATGGTTTAAACTTTTTCACTTATTTATAATACCGAATTTTCTATGCTACTGAACCTAAATAAGTAATGCTTTATTTACGCTAAATAAACCTACATAGAAGGTAAACTGACAACTTTTTTCACGTCAATGCTATTAAAAAAACTTTGTTCAAAATTTGGTGGAACAGTGTCGCTCAAACTCTTTTTTCCTCTCTTCCCTTACTGATGAGCAAAGAGAAAGGGTATCCTCAACGTATCGTTTCCGTCTAGGACACGTGCAAAGTGGTAACTAAACTACTCTTCAAAAAGTAAAAAAAAACAATTGCAAGGGACTAATACCTTTTTGTTAGAGTGCCAACAGTGAAAAAAAGTTTCAGTACAGTCGACATGATGAATCAATAATCCACTTAACAAAGTTCATAGCTAGAAATTCCTCGCAAACTCTTTAAACACGTAATTACAATTTGAGAAAAAGGACAAATACGGTCTTCTAGAGCGGAAAGTACTTTCAAATCGTACGTGCGATTTTCCACGCGATACTTGTGTTGACTGAAGCTATACGCTCGAAGAAACGCTACGATATTAGTTTCCACCCGAATACCTACCAAATGTGATGCGAACAATGGATTCGCTACTAATTCTGCGAATCTACTTCAAAGATGGGCGTCCACGTACTCTCATACTAATCAACAAGAAGTTAAAGGCAAGATTCGAGCTTACTGATGAGGTAATTCCACTCAAATGTGATGTAGGGGTGGGAGGTGGACCGCCAGTGGAGAAAAAAGGAAAAAAATCGTGAAATACACAGGAAATACGAGCCTTTTGCTCTACGCTGCGGAGAAGTTCAAAAGGCCGGCAGGGAGATGAGAGATAATGTGAGCGCGGAGAGCGGTAGAGAAGTCCGAGAAGAGAGAGCATAGCAGATCAAGCATTGCGACGCAGACAAGATATCGAGCGGTGGGCGGAGCGTGTCGCAACAGGTGGAGCGTGTCAAAGTCCTTGGCCCCTAGCGCCTTAGTGACGCATTTCGATGCGGGAACTTGGCGAGTCGCCTGCAGTTGCGTCCCATGCACTTCTAGCCACTTTAAGGGCTTATTAGGTGGGTCTGAGCCCGAACTTTGCCTTTAAGGTCACAGATGCCCACTCCTACACTGCAGCTTTGGCACGGCTCCAGAAGTGGGTCGCACTCGTTACCATTGGTGCTTTTAGCTCAGGAAGCCTATTACTAGGACGCCCATACAGTGAAACCACCCACTCTTCAAAGATTTCATTGAGAAGGAATCCCTGAGCCTGAAATGCCAACCACTTCGACTTTGCTAAAATGGCGAGGCCTAAAACAAGGCTATATGGAAACATTGCCCGAAATGTTATACCTCAAACAAGTCCTCGCCTCCACTGCAGTTGAAGCATTAGATTAGTAGAACAGATGTTCACCAACGTCACCGGTAAACCGCCATCTGAGGACATCGGCACGAGTCGGCACTCGATCTAGAACGGTGAGAACAAACCAAGAAGGTCTTTTCGTGCGCTGCTTCTGGAAACGAATTTTTACATGGTGTAGGAGCACAGGAAGGAACACACACTGAGGTACGGTCCATTTTTGCTGAGCGGCTATTCCGAATATCCAGAGGTGAACACATTTTTGGGATAAGTTCTGGTGAAAGCCAACTCATAACACAACATAACCTGGACCAGGTCGTAATACTGCACCCATGTCCGCAGCCGCCGTTTTGCGACATTATACAAGCGCCAAACGAAAAGGCAGGACTTTGTTATAATGAGAAATCCCACCGGGAATCAACCTTCTGCCTGTGTTTGGAAGCGAAGTAACTCAGTGATTATGTAGGGCCCCTGAATAGTGCGGAGAACCGTCATGAAAAAAGCGGGCACGCTCTGAAAACCCTTTCTGGCGAAATATGAATATCAAACAGGATTCTCAAAAGTGCAGGTGCGTGACGATAAATACAAACGAAATGAGTGAAGTAATTTGAAAACAGAATTCAAATGGATTCAATAAAAGCATGACACAGCCGATTCCACTCGAGTGCGTCACCAGGACAGGATTAAAAAGAAGTGGATGGTGAAGAATTTGGTCAAAAACGAAATGCTGGTAGTTCTGCTAGTGTTGTCATTCCTCACGGTAACTTTTTGTGACACTTCTCCATGTAAACAATGTAAGTTTTCACCTGCACCCGAGTTGATTACCCCGACTGGGGCTTTGCCTCCACTTTTTTTGAAGCGATCTTCACCTGAGGATTGGAAAATATCATTTTTAGACAATGGGCAATGCGGCTCCTCAGATTTTCAGATCAAAGTATTTATTAGCTACTTTTGGGAAAAGCTTGATATTCTCATGGTGAGTTCCTTTCTGAATACATACTCTTTATATCCGTGGAGAGCATTACCGACTCTACTACAAAAGTGACGACCTTCAAGCAAATTTTATACTTTGTAGTTTACGTGATAGCTCGTAATCGATATGTAATAGCTGTAGTTTGTGGCAATTGATAGAATTCTACTTTATATAAGCCGTTTAGTGGTTGTGTGTGTCTGTCTGCCTGTCTGAACAGAAATTCAAAACTTTACTCCTGTCTCAGAGCGCTCAAACCTCAAATGTAGGGGGCTTGACTTGAACATTGATGATTGTGGCGGGAGCTAATAACAATCGATAGAACCTGATAACGGACTCACGAAACTGGCCGATTATGCCATTTCGTCTAACGCGCCGTCAACGTTGATGTGAGTTTTGCACTCTAGGAATTATGCTAGTGCTGAGACGGGACCAAGAGAGAGAGAAAATTGTAGAAAGTGAATAAGTGTCTTCGTCAAGTGCGCTAGAATGACAATGCAACCAGTTTGTGGTAAGGCAGAGGCCAGGAATGTGGATCAACGAAAGTGGTGGTATGTGGTAAGATTTGATAAAGGGGTAAGAGTATGGAAACGACCAATTTCGGAGCGGCCTTTGCGGTAGCAATATAACTGCTTTAATAATACATATGGTGAAGTTTACGGTACATGGTATAGTGGGTGATCAAAAGTCATGAAATGGTTAGCAAGGAAGTTCAGTTTTTGAGCACCATCAGTTTCGCTGAAGTCTTCGCGGTTACAGGAAAGCCCTAGGTCTCCATGTTGCATAACGGGTCAAACGATAACACTTCTGATGAGCGGTATGAACTGATGACAAGTGATTAAGACGACAACTACGTTTAAAGGACGAATTTACGATGGAAAAGCAACCCATTCCAAATTGAGGTAGAGATGGTGAGTAGTACCAGAAAGAAAGCGAAACCACGAAAAACGGCCCAGAACCGGAGAAATGGGACCCCTTCCTTGTCCGTTGATTTGAGCATTGATGGGACTCTCATCGCTTTGCCCTCTTCAACCCTACGCTCTCTCAGCTATCTAATCACTCGCCACCTATTGTACTACGGCGAGTGATCAGACGATCGGTGGGCGGAGATCGCCGAACTCGCCAACTTTGAGCCATGCTAGATCTCAGAGGTCAAATCTTTCGATGCCGATTGCGTGTCTGTCCGCACCCTCAAGAGATTCACCGCTCTCCCCACTAGGCGATTTCTCCCTTCTTCGACCTTCGTTCTTTCCGTGCAATCCTCCTTTAAAGCAACGCCCGAAACTCGTTGCGATCACCACTCAGCGAGTGACGCGGATGTTGGTAGTGATGACAGGGCAGTAGTAAAATGAGCGAAACTGTTACTAATAAGTAATTATAATTCATTGCACGTCAGCAATAGCCCACACTAAAACACAACTATAAAAATGCTTAAACAAATACCGACACTGATGGCACCGATAACATACTTGCTAGTCAGTAGTCGCTAACATTGGATCCCCTTCATTTTGTAGCAGAGCCTTCACCGCCAAGCATTTGAATTGCGCAGCGATAGGACAAGTATACTTTCCGGCGACTGCAAGTACTCAATGCCACTTCTAAAGGTAAAGCTCTTGGCACGCACGTTAGTTTTGGGATTTGTCAGCAAATCATCATCATTTCTACTCTCACACAGTTCTGAAATATGCCAACTTGGAGACACTGGAAGGACCGGAGCCGCACGTCCCCTGCACCAGCTCATGAACCAAGTAGAGATCAGAAACTCTGCGTCTCATTTTTAGAGATGTCAGCTTCAATTATTGATCCCAATAGCTGCCTCTGGTATTCTAGAGTACATTAATCACCAATTCGACAAACAATTCGGTCCAAACGGCATTATGCTTAACCTTTTCGAGTGCATTGACGCGTTTTCGTTTCGAAGGATTGCCGTAGTGCTAAATTCTACGAGGGGTGTACGTAAGACCTGTACGCACGTGAAAATGCTTTCTTGTTAGCTGTGTCTTAGTCCTTTGAAGATTTGAGATGCACGCAGATTGGCCATTTCAAGTTTAGTGATAGCAAGTGATAAGTGTTACAGTTTATGTGTTTTGAAAACGTCTTATTTGTTATAGTAGTTGGATCCAGGTCTTTAACCGATTCAGCAGCTGGAAGTAGAACCCTATCAATTGTGTATGCGCTTAAAAGTGGCGGCACTCGGAATTTAGTTGTATATACCGTTTTTTGTGGAGCCATAGGCGACTGCCATTTTTAGACCAATTCTCAGTAAGGTCAATAGCGTCATGTAGTTTTCTGAAGTCATCCAAACTTGCACTTGGTTTGTAGATCTTCAAGTCATCTGCGTGTATTTTGACTGCTACACCTATTTCTTGGGGATGTCACAAGTTCGGCCGTGAAAATGTTGAAAAGTAATGGTGGCAATACTCTCCCTTGAGGTGCACCACTTACTATTTGCCTTGCATCGGAGAATGAATAGTCATTTTTTTCTTGACATCCTGCCATAAAGATAATTTGAAATCCACCCGTTGAGCACAGGATGAGACATCGACCTCACTGAACGCTAAGAACCTTCAACTTATAACCCATTTTTTCAAGTGAGACACTATCGAATGTTTTTGCGTCAAAATAAATGACATCACAACGTAACTTTTTGTCAACAGCTTCATTCCAGTCATTCTAACATCAAACATCAAACGGATCGACAAGGAGTAAAGCCGTGTTGTGCTCTTGATATAGTTTGACTAATTAATGAGTTTTTTCTTATTTTTTCAGAACTTTCTCAAATAAGTGAAAGATCGATGTGATACTTACAGGCGGCGGTATTCTTAGAGTTCCATAAAAGCTTCTTTTTCACTATGGGTGTGACAGAAAGTATAATATTTCCAAGGTTGAGGAACTTTACCAGCAGTTAGTGCCGTCTAAGTATAAGCAAGAAGACCGCTAGTGGAGCCATTCTCTGCACAATAAAAAACTGCAAAAAATCAGAAGAGTGGTTCTTAACCAGGGGAAGTCACTCGTGGTTCCTAGTATATGAGAGTACAGCGAAAATTAGGTGCGTTCCCGTCTTTTCCCTTGCAAACGCTCACAAATGGGTCAGCTAACATGTTCGCTTTATTCTCACAAGAGTGCTTTAGTGTTCACTTTTCGTGAGCAACCCATCCGGTTAGAATATTGGATCCTTCGCTCAAATATCTATGGGAGCAGCGAAGATTGCCGGAGTCAATAATTTTCCTTCTCAAATGTTCGTTGTATTATTTGTAGACGTTTGTAACGCTTCTGTGAAGTTTAAGTTTATTTTTTCCCAGTTGTTGAAACGTCTGGCCTTACTGAACAGATATTCTCGATCTTACCATA